TTACAGTAATAATTACTATAACAATGATATTCCTGACTATAATTATTTTACTGTGCGATTATAGTTTCGAATACTACATATTTTTCCATCTTATATTTAACTTTGTCTTAAATACATGTTCAAAGAGTATTTAGTCAAAAAATGATCCGTGTAAACGTTGTACAGACCATTTTTCTGGACAAGAAATATTGCAAGAAGTATTTAACATGATGTTTAAATATAAGAATTGACTGTAAACAAGGCTTAGTGCACTCAGTGAGCACTAGTGCAACCAACCGAATTCGCTATTACTCAACACCCGATGCATCGAGCCACCGTCGAGATCGAATCTCGTGACGAGGCGACGTTGCTCTCTCATTTTCGCTCTTCGAGATTCGCGTGAAATCTTCCGCTGCGGGATCTCGGTAGCGCAATCACGGTAGGATACACCCGGTTGCGCAGATGGGCTACTTCTGCGCTACCGCCGTTCTTATTTGCATATCGAAGTGGACGACTCCACGTTGCGCGTGGCACGGCCCGGCGAGAGTCGCGGCCGAGTGAAATTTCGGCGAGGAAAGCGCAAGTGAAATGTTGGAGCGATTCCGCCGGCGAGATTAATGCAATTTCCAGCGATCATTCACGCGCGGAATAATCGGCGGAAAATTACATATAGGATGATAAGATACCTCCGAGCCTCCGAAGGAGATCCTCCTAGCGAAAGTTTCATAGATTTTACCGCGTCGCGCGGTTCGAATTTTAATATTCAAACGCGCCGACAACGTTCAAACGCCTGAAATGAAAATTGATGTCGGGTCGCGGTATATTTTCCAGGCCATATTTTATCGTATGACTAATAACGATTGCGTTAATATTGAATATTCGCGACTGGCGCGCACACGTACCTCCTATTTTTAATAATATCTTATCGGGCCCTTATCGTCTGCAAGCGACAGTTCATATCTCGTCACGTCGTGGACAATGATTTGTCAGATATAACGACAAGTTAATAATCCTCCAAGGGATTTACAGGCAATACCGCCTACGTAAAGTAATGCGGCGGATGATGAAAGGTGAGTCTCACTCGACCCGCTTCGCGCCGGTGTTCGATATAAATTATACGACGTTGATAATTGCACACCGCATCTTGTCGAAACACTGTTCGCGAGCGTTCAGGTAGTCGCGTGGGAATGAAGACGCCTCCGCTGGGTGCTGCAAATTCAAATATAATCCCTTTCTCCAGCTCGCTCCTTCGCCCGGTTTTCTTATCTCAAGTGCAGTTTTATTCCGGCTTGTAATCCCCCGGATATAAGCTTACGTCATTTATATTTTCTTCCATGGAAAAGGTCGCAAAGAACGCTGAGAATATAATGCAATTTCTCAAGTGTTAATTGCATCGCTAATAAACGAAAACTAGATGCGTCATACCTCGGACCCGTTTAATTTTTATCTACCTGCTCGCGTGTAACTTGTTTTAACGTTCTTACACATCCACAGGAAAATGCTATTACACTTGAATGTATCATAAAATAGGATCGATATAGCGCCAATCATATTTATTATAGAGAAAGGAAAATTTTAATCTTAAATAAAAAATTCTAAAATCTAGAATAAAATAATAGTATGTATCGTCTTTTGTCGAATGTCGCGGTGCCAATTTCGTGCGTTGTAAGACGGAGGGAAAATTTATTCTAAACGCAAGAATATATAAACTTACATTTATATACGTTATTATACTTTTGTCTCAATATAGTAACTCAATTCGTTTTTTAATTCAATAGGGAAGAATAAGAATTACTGATTTTATTTAATAAGCTTACATTTATTGTATAAGTTACTCTTGCCCCAATATACAATAGTAAGTCAATCTTTTTTAATTTAATAGAGAAGAATAAGAATTATTGATTTTATTTTGATATTGTCTTATTTTTGTACTAAATGAGGTTGTGAGAAATATAAAAGCGTCGAGAATATTTTTTGTCTCGATAACAGAAATCCTTTCTGAGGGTGTAATTACACACAATTTGCACGTCTTGTCCCGGCGACGTAGGTCGCTCAGAAAAAGGTCTCAATTATCCCGATTATGTAGATTCGACACGCTTTCCTGCTTGATCGAGGATTAAACAGCGCGCATTCTTCATTTTCCATCGTGACAACTTCTTTCTCGCAAACAATTTCTTGCAATTAGCACGGAGTTGCAATTAGTATCGCGATGTTCGCGAAAGTGATACGAGGAAACGCGGCACGACGAACTAAAGGCGTTTAACAGCGTCACGTTTGTGTCCAGTCTCTGTTCTCCGGGTAGAAACAATGACCCGTCCTTTAGACGCATAATCGTACCTGGTGCACGAAGTGTCTTTTTGAAATTGTGCAACTTTAAGTGCAAAAGCATGTCACCTCGTTGTTACTATTGTCTGTCATTCTCTCTCTCGCCCCTCTCTCTCTCTCTCTCCTCTCGCTCAATATTTACGTTATTACTTAATGAAATTACATACAGAATATTTTAATAACAATTTAAGTATACGTTCGGACATCTCGGCTCAAATTCGAGCCATCTTCACCGATCTTCTTGAATTCTCTCCCACGTTCCGTTAACCAAAAGTAAATGTTGCGAGATTGATAGATCGAAAAGCCTGAGTTAATATAATCACTCTTTTGGGTGCTGTGAGACTGAGGGATGAATGTGGAATTAGGAAACTGACGCACATGTGTTAGACAACATTTCTAAGTGCACTCACCTAGGGTTAACGAAGCATGATCTGTATTTATACGAATATCCTTTTTTGTCCCGAAAAATACAATACTAAATAAGTCGACATGAAAGCAGGGCTGTCTCGTGCGAATGGAAATCTGCGCGTACCGCGCATTATGCAAATGACCCTCATTAAAATGGAACTGTTCGCATAGCGACGATTATTGTTCTTTAAACGACGATAGTACAATCGGGCAACCTCGTTGCGGCGACGAGCGTGCGATTGCCACCCACGACACTTTTATTCGGCGCCAATTAACTCACGGGCGGCAATTAACGCGGATAACAATTAGCATCGCGTTCTCCGCGACGCATTCGCCTCCTCCCCCCCCCCCTCCCTTTGTTTCCCGCATATTGTACGACGCTCTTTTGTGTTTTGTATTCGATTATCGGGCTGATAAAAATTTTGCTGCTCGTCGTTTCGTAACCACGGACACATTGGTACCGCATCGCCGCGATGCCGTCGCGTGCATCGGCTGGTACCGCTATACGCCTGCAATCGCCGCGGTGCAGAACGGTGCGAGGACCAATCTCCCGTGTACTCCTCGCAGTCAGTCGGTCAGTCGGTGAGTATATACTCTTCGCGCAATTTCTCAGACAGCCCGGCGGCGACGCGCGATCCCGCGATGTGCTCGCGTGAGGAGACGAGGCGAAGGTGTCCCTGATCGGGACGCCGTCTTGGAGCTGTGAATAAATCGCGGATCGAGCGTACGAGCCGAGGAATCCCACGCCGCGCCCGGATGTAGAAAGTAGCCTCCTTTACATCCCGATCCTACGCGCCGCGATCGACGGGTTGAATTATCGGGACGGCTCGACTGAGGAAGATCGCTGTGAAAACCTCGCGCGATTCGTCGCGGCTGTTGCCGTGGCGTACGGTGAAACGTGGCGCGTTTGAGGGAGATTTCAAGGAGATTTGTCTCTAGAAAGAGAAACGTCGAGATTTGTTTTGTTCAGATACATTCGGGGTCCCTCAAACTCCAACGCGTTTGATAATAAACGATAAATAAGCGACAAATACGAAAGCCTTAAATTGCACCGCACTGATAAAACTGCGAACTTGATCTCGGTATTCCGTTTACGAAGAGGCTTATCTTGTAAATAATCAGATATATATTTTTCAACTAATAGAATAATAATCGAATAATATCTACTTTCAATACCTGAATATCGTACGATACGCTACGTTAATTTTTAGCGGCCAGTTTTCACAACGCAAAGTGGCAAATCTACGTCTTGCGAGACGATAAAGCCTGATCTACAATGTGCTCTTTGCGTCTAGAAACATTCTATTTTGTGGCTAATAAATACACTGACAACCAAATTTTTTTAACTAAGTAAATAGATTTACTTAAAATTATTTTTTACTGCAGTAAATATTTATTCTATTATATTTAAATAAAAATAGCAAATTTCAGGGAAATCTGTATATTATATTAAATAAATTAATCTAAATAATTACATTTTCTACATTCAGATAAAGATTTCATCAGATATATTATAGAATACTATTTATTAAATGAAATAATTGTTTTTGTTAAATAAGATATCCAATTTTCTTTGCCGTGAAAATTACATCTTAGTAAACGCTTCATAAAAACAAAATAATATTTTTTTAAATGTAAAATGATCTTCTCTTTGATGTTTAATAAATATTTAAATTAAAGACATGCATGTTTTAAAATATCCAGTTTTCTTCGCCGTGAAAATTACGATGTTAGTAAACACTCTATAAAAATAAAATAATTTTTTTAATGTAAAACGATCTTCTCTTTGATGTTTAATAAATATTTAAATTAAAGACATGCATGTTTTAATTCGTTTATTATTTTTTTCAATTTAAATTAATAGGCTAGGAACCACCTAATTTCCTTGAGAAAAGTAATATTTTTTTTATTAAGATTTTTTATCAGTAGTGTACGTTTAAAAAATTTGTGAGTTGGTAAATTGTACGTTGTACAATCTTGCGTCAATTGTCGATAAATTTTTGTAAAGCGTTTTGATTTGCTTATATAAAACCAAATGTTTCTGGACGCAAAGCGTACATTGTAGATTAGGCGTAGCCGATGCGTAGCAAGTACTATTTGTAATGAGTATCGCTGTTAATTACTGCGTTTATAATTATAATGTATTTGCTCGTATAGAAATAAATTGCCGTGAATTCTAATTATAAGCGTTACGCTTGGCTTCTGGTGCCGCCGAGACTAAAGGTGCAAGAACAACTTGTTTTACCTGTTGCACTTTGACCTCGCCTTAAACTTTCGTTTACCTACATCCCGATTCTGTTGTAAACTAACGCTCTTCTAATGCGGAACCAATCTAGAAAGGGATTTAGACGGAGACATTTATTTTTTCTTTGTAAAAGAAATCATTAAATTCTTTCAATATCGTACCGCTACCGTATTTCTTCAATTTGAAGCAAACTTCTTCATGACAATGTCGTAGCACATCACGCGATTCTTTCATCGTCTCGCGGGATGTTCGATCCAATAAACATTACTGAAGCAGAACAAAAAGTCATTTAAAAGTCAAAATAATATCATTTAACGCTTTTAATAAAACGTAATAACTTTCGCCGAAAGAATGCAAATTGTTCATGCATGCGAAATGATGAAATGATGAAAATTAGGATATCAATGCTCTTAAAAAATTAGATACTTTTACAAATAACGTCTTATATTTTACGAATTTGTAAAAACATTTCGTTTTTTAAGAGCATTATTGACATTTTCCACACATTTCCCAATTTTCCATACATAGGACACAAAATAATAGCTCAAGAACACAAATCTTATAAAAGAATAAATACTGCGCTCTATCACACATTGTACACCATATTTTATCATTATAGCATAATTGTTGTTAAAAAGGCCATTTTGTGTATTCATAAGTCCTAACATGCAATTATGAACATCGGAAATAATTTAAGTTCAGACTAAATCGTTGCAAACTATGTTAAGAGGATCCCCCAGCCTTTGATGGTGTGCGCCATCTAAACACGAAACGCAGCATACATGAGCACACGGACACACTACTACGATACATCACACCCATACATAAACGCGAAAATTTCATACTAACTATACTCTTATTTTAAACCTCTAATCCTAATTTAGAGGGTTTCACAGTAATTCTACATGTTATCGAATCCTAGGGAACTCAGTTTCATGTGAGTACAAGTTGTAGAACTTTTATACGAAGCACAAGTATGATGGAGTGACAGTTCGCGTCTACAAGGTTATATGTGATCGATTATATGAATTTTGTAATTTTTACTCATTTTTTGTATAAAATTGGAGTTTCCTGGGATTATCAATGCATATACTGTCATTGTACGCAAGCATTTTTGATTCCATGAATTTAATACGACGAAAGGTTATAACTACGAAAATGGTAATTCTGTCGGTAATACAGAACGGTTACGGGATCCTCTTAAACAGTATCTCTAAATTACAAAATTATTGGATTAACTTTCGATGATCAAAATATGACTTTTGATAGTCATTACGATGTTATTTCGACTTCATCATGACTTCTTATTCTGCTTGGGTCGATAATGCTCAGTCTGAAAGAACAAAAATCCAGAATGCGCATCGCCTCGTGTTCGTTCCTCGCTCTTTGAATTTAGCGCGGAAGAGGGCCTTTAAAGGATTAAAGATTACAGTGCGCAGTCAATGGAAAAATCCTAACAGTCTCTCTCTCATTCTCCTCCTCCGACGAAAGTGTAACACCACAGAGATTCACTAAGCCAAGGAGACTACATGGTAGTGCGACTGCGGGAAGCGGCGGAGTCACACTCCTCGAGACGAGCGCACAATCCACGCTCCCGATGGACTTTCTCGGGGTCACCGAGTTGAACCGAGCGTAGTATCTAAAATCACTGTGCACCTAAGAATGTCGGCAAAAGGTGGAAGGAGATATTGTGCAGAGGGAACCGACGAAACGGGCCTGATAAGAGCAGCCAGTACTTTGTCGGTCTCTCGTCGCCCAAGTGGATCCTCGTTGTGCGGGAAACTTTAAAGTAAACCGTGGCGCAGAGCAGTTTAAACAAAGTTCCAGAATCCTGGAGCGCTTTCGCAACAAAGAGGAACTACGTGCTCGCGAATCGAGAGCGAGAGAGAGAGAGGGAGAATCAGAATCAGAATCATTATTTATTACACGCTCTGGGACAAATCCTCTAAAGCGTAGGAACAGTTGTTACAAAAAAATTAAAAATTAAACTGTGAGTGAATAATGCATATGAATTAAAAGTTGTGATAAGAATATAAAGAGAGAGAGAATCAGAATCAGAATCATTATTTATTACACTCTCTGGGACAAATCGTCTAAAGGGAAAGAACAATTGTTACAAAAAAATTAAAAAATAAACTGTGAGTGAATAATGCCTATGAATTAAAAGTTGTGATAAGAATATAAAGAGAAAGAGAGAGAGAGAGAGAGAGAGAGAGACAGAGAGAGAGAGACAGAGAGAGAGAGACAGAGAGAGAGAGACAGAGAGAGAGAGACAGAGAGAGAGAGACAGAGAGAGAGAGACAGAGAGAGAGAGACAGAGAGAGAGAGACAGAGAGAGAGAGACAGAGAGAGAGAGACAGAGAGAGAGAGACAGAGAGAGAGACAGAGAGAGAGACAGAGAGAGAGA